CACACACACACACACACACACACACACACACACACACACACACACACACACACACACACACACACATTCACACATCGGCAATCGAATATACGTTTTCCTGAATACCTTAAATTCTCCCCAAAACATCATTTTTTGCGCTTTTCGAACTTTTTTTAGCGGATTCAGTAGATTCACTATCGTTGCAGCAAATCATCATATTTTTTGATAAAATCTTGTACTTGTGGTATTTTTGCGAGCAATTGAATAACGATCAAAATTTTCAGTATCATATAATAGATGAACAAATATTGCTAAAACAAACAGTTCTTTTCTTTGCAAAAGAAATAATGCTATATAAGGAAGGTAATATTTTTATCAAGATTTTATCGTTTTTCTCAGGAAGAATTCGAATTTCGGATTATCTCTATCTTATTTACCTCTAGTCATTTCAACAACACTAAAATTTGATTTCCTAAATGATTGAATTGGACTTTTAGAATTACTTTTGAAGTGATAATTTTTTAGACATGGAAATGTTTCATAAATAAATTTTGCTAAAAGGAAAAAAAAAGTGAATAAATAATTTGATGATGGTTTTGAATAGCTCATATTCGTTAGATCGCTTATACTTTTTGCAACATCCGATATTACAGGTATTTCATTCCTTTTAATTTTTTGAATTATCATTTCAAATGTTGCATATGTTCCTGTCCTGTATTTCATTTTTCTTTTTGCCTTTGTAATTAATTTGAATTTTTGTTCCAATTAACTTTTTTCAGTTATGAATTGTTTGTTGGCTGTGCAAGATAACATGCACGTATGACATCAAATTCTTTCTAATTTTCATCATCCAGCAAATATTTCGCACATTGCTCGTCTCGTTATCATTTTCATTAAGCTGATATAACTGTGTAAAATAATCTGAAATATTGGAATGATAGCAAAAGATATTTATGATGTTATTTAATTGTGAATTCATATTACAGTATAACATATAGATTAAATGGATTCTTTTAATTACTATCATGAATTTTTCTTTTTGAAATTAGAAAGAATTTTAAAAGAAAAAATTTTGAAATTTCCAGAATATTATGATGAGAAAATCTGGTTTAGGAGAATTATTAACTATTCGAAAAGTGTTTAAACAAACTTAAATATGAATTTAGAACTATTGGATACATTACATTAAACAATCGAATAATTCTCTAGTCCTTCTGATTCTACTTAATCATAACAGACCTCTAAATATTGATCATTCAACATATTCAGTATATTGATATTCAGTATACATATTCAGTATATGGATTCAGTATATTGATTCAGATTATTGATGTTCAACATTTTAATAGAAATTTTTTTCTGTAAAATTTTCGAAAAAAATTTTAGAAATACGGTAGGTATAAGTTCTGTAATGAGAAATTAATAACCTTAACATTCCTCTGAACAATCATTGTATAGAAGTCTTGAATGCTATTTGATATTAGTCCTTGCGCATAAATAAACGTCGTATCATCACTTACGCTTACGTATGACGCATTAATGTAGTCTTCTTCTAGAATAGTTTAAATTAAAATTTTGAATTGTTCAATAGAGAGGAAAAAAAAATTCTTATTTGATATTATTAATTAATCATTCGATCAATACAACTTATTGATTGCTTATCTCGAAGAAGCAATTCAGTCTTTTTTTGTGGTTCCAAGAAATCTAGTCTTTGAAGAAGTCATTTTTTTCCTATTTCTATGAACTTACAGATACTTAACAGGGAGCATTAAATATATATCATTGAGTGAGCAACAAAGTAGTAAATAACAATGAAGTGTGAACTAAAACAGCCAAACAATTTGGATTCCTCACTATTTTACATCTACTTTGAACCTGGTTCCAGTACCGGATCAGTTACATATTTGTTAATGATTGAATTGAAAAGTGTGTAAAGCCATATCAGAATTGTTAATCACGGAGGAAACTTAAAAGTTGAAGATATGTTTCAGGAAGCATTAAGAAAGCTATAACAACGGGTGTTATCACAACCGGACAAATTAAAAGAGGTCATGTAGATGTTGCAAACTTTTTCCAGGGATTGATATTTGATAGTTAGCAGCGTGAAGTTATCACCTACAGAATGTAAGTACTGAGCAACCTGGATGATTACCATCAGCAACACAGGAAGAAATCAGATGAGAAAAAAATATATTTATAACAAAAAAAAAAGAAAAACTTCGGATTATCCTTCACTATCACTCGTGTATCATTCAATATACAAATATCGTCATACCTAAAATTTGATGCAAATAATTCAGCAAAATATAATTTAAAAAAAAAAAGGTGATAAAGGAATAAATAGATGATTTTCTGAACTGTCGGAAAATTTAATTTTTCTGAAATATTTTTTAGATATTAAGTTTCGTCCTTTCACATATATTATCCTTTGTTTGCTCTTCACCTTTTTATTTTTAATCATTATTTTGAAGAAGCACTAATTTTATAATCAAGTAAATGTTGTAAATTGATTGTTTTGATGTCTTAACTTTCAGATTTGAAGGCATATTTTGCTAGAAGCATTACACTAAAATAACTACATAAATCAGGTAAAACTAAACGACACATAATGTTCTATAAATCAGGTAAACTAAACGACACATAATGTTTTATAAATCAGGTAAAACTAAACGACACATAATGTTCTATAAATCAGGTAAAATCAAACGGTTAAAATAATCATATCACGATTTAAGTAAGATAAATAATTTCATCCATTCATGTTGTACCAATTTAGTTGTACCTGTTTTTGTCGTAATTTTTTCCCAAGCATATTACTTTTCTGCTGGTACATAATTTCGAATTAAATCAATGTATTCGCCATGAATATTCCATTATACTACTCTTGAGAACCGCTTCAATCCCATTATTCATAAATTGTTTGATGTTACAATTTTCAATTTATCCGCTTTTCCTAAATTGA